TTAGGACATTCTGCCCTGCAGCTCCAGGGGTCATGTAATAACTCTTCTCTTGGGGAGATGATGGGGTAGGTAACTCTTGATGCTTTTTACCCTCAGAGTAGGCAAGGAGATGCGATACACATATCAGTCAACCTTCACATGGCAACTTGCCACCTCACTTTGGATTTCTATATCCACTTAACCAGGAACCAAGTCAGAATTTCAATTTTACCATCCTGTTAAATGAGATCATCACTTAATACCTGGCATGCAATAAATGCCAAATGAATGACAACTGTTTTATAATGAAATGAGAATGAGTCTTAATTCATTTCCTTTTTTACCAAGATACATGTCCTTGACTGGAATTGAACCCAGGACCCTTCAATCCTGAGTCCAAGGCTATCCAGTCTCTCTTGTTGAAACATGTTCAGCTTTTAAAAATTCATTGTCTTCACATCTGACCCTCTTAGCTACCACTGTCCAACTCTTATATGTGCTCAAAAGTTGCTTTCTGCCAAGCCTGTGTGGCTCAGTTGGTTGAGCATCGTTCCCTGCACCAAAAGGTTGCTGGTTCGATTCCCAGTCAGAGCACATGCCTGGGTTGCAGGCTCAATCCCCAGTAAGGGGTGTGCAGGAGACATCCAATTGATGTTTCTCTCTAGGTCAATAAAAACAAATAGTTTTAAAAGATGCTTTCTGACTGTACATTTGAATTGGGTTTCCAGCTAATCCCTCATTCTTTTGTATTAAATCTTTATTGTAAAACAAAAACAAACTAAACATCTTTATACTATATGTTAAAACACAACCAACTGATGCAAGACACTGGGGGTGGGGAGATGAGGGCAAAGGCTGGGGGGGGCGGTGGATAGGGGAGACCAGGGAGAGGTCAATGGGAGGGGGGGAAAAACATGTACTACTATTTTAACTCCTTAATACCTTAAACAATAAAATTAAAAATACTTAGAACTAAAAAATAAAGGTTGAGGAAAGTTCATTTCTATTAAAAAAAAAACAAAAAACAAACAAAACCTATTCAGATGGTATAAAATAAAGATACTTCCTTTTCCGCTGCCAGTCCCTGAGTGCCATACTTTGGAATTAATCATTATTAATAGCTTGTTTTACATCCATTTAGAAATGGTCTGTGCGTATGTAAACATATAAACTCTACGATTGCATACTGTTTCCAGAAGGAAAGAAAGTGCCCTTAGCAGACTGCCTGAGAAAGCTGTTCTTTCAGTGGTTGATAAACAACCCTGTCTTGTTTCCTGTTTCTTTCTTCTCATCATTAGGGGACACTCAAAGCTTCTAACCCCAAAACTTTCATAAGCTCTTCTGAGATAATTGAGCACTATTCAGAGAGAAATACCAGACACTCCAATTTCTTCCAATTACATCCTATGCAATTCTGCTACCAAACAGAATAACTTGATTAAAAAGCAGAATTGAATCTTTTAATTCAGGACATAGAATTCAAATTGATGAGAGAAAAAAAGAAAAAGAAAAAAAAAAACTTTGTGAATGACCCAGCCAGGAGTGGCTCAGTGGTTGAGTATCAACTCAGGATTTGGTCTGTCCCATTGGTGGGTCTTGTTCCTTATCAGGACAGGGAGTAAGTAGGTTGCTGCTGCTATTGTTACCCTAATCAGTTGTAGGTTTTCAGGCTCATCTTTAACTCTGTACTCTGCTGCACAATACTGATATCAGAAGAATGGCCACTTTTTTACTCTGAGGCATATATCCCCATGTCTTCCTGTTCCAAAAGCCACTATTAACTTATCCAATAATTTAGGGCAATAACAAGATGGTGATCCCTTTGAGAAAAAGTATTTCAGTATAGTAGTGTGGAGAGGCAGCTCTTCCATCCTCCCTGCTGGAGATGATTTGACTCGCTATCGGTGGCCTTGTTGTCTGCCTCCTGGACATCCAAGGGCTCAGCTCTCTATATCCTGCATCTCTTGTCACTTTGTCCTGACTGAAGGTGGAAGTTCTAGAGTCTAAATCATAGCAACTCAGCAATCTATCCAATTTCCAAAACTTATTCCCCTTTTATCAAACATCATAGAGAGAAAAGTGAAATTCTTCATCTGAATCGAACCTCTTAATGAAAGAGATACTCTGGATTTGTACTCCTAATCAGCATTCCATGCAGTGTATAAGTGAACCATGTGGGGCATGAAACGTTCCATTTCAAGAGGGACTGCACACTGATGTGGAAAATTCAAGATGTGCCCTAACCATTTCTTGTCTGTGACCATAACCATTGGATTGACTATTCTGGAGAAACATGAGTAAGTCTAGAGGGGCCTATTAAGAAAGAAGTTTATTCTGCTTTTCATCTGCAGCCTACACTCAGGATGTTTTCCAAAACCATTGGGTTGAGATCTAAAACCAATAGACATTTCATGAGCCAATATTTATGTTGAATATAATAAAAGTAATTACCTCAGGGAAGAAAAGGCACAGCTAGATTCTTCAGTACTTCATTGGTTCATTCATACAATAGATATTTAGCCCTTACTACATGTCAAGCACTAGGCTAAGAGTTGGGAATATATCTAGGATAACAACAGTAACTATAGCTAAAAATGTATTGAGCTCTTAACTACCTATTAGGCATTGTGGATTATCTTCTATAATTCTCAAATCAACCTTATAATTAGATGCTTGTTAAATCTTTATGTGAATATAAGGGAAGTGAGGCTTAGATAACTTGCTCAGCAGCATACTGCTAATAAAGACTATAGCTAGAATACAACCCCAGAGTACTTTTCTACTTTTTGTTAACTGATGCTTCTACATGAGGCAAAACAAGTCCCTGCTTTCATGAAGCTTGTAGTCTAAATTGGAGAACATTTTTCTTCAGAAAGAGCCTTAACTTGTCTCTGAAGAGATGTAGAGTGTCCTCCAGAGAAGGCTTCTCACCTTTCAGCAAGACTTGATGGAAATTGCTTGATGACATGCACGCCCTTTATTTTCTCTAATCACATTCATGTCTCCCATCTTCTGTGTCCCTACCAGTGATGTATCTACCACTCCTGGCATCCTTTGCCTTGTTCTGATGCCCTCTGTCCTGTCTATGTTCTCCCCTCATACCTGTTTATTTTTTGTTATCTCTCCCATTTAGATAATTACTAGACACTGTAAATGCCATGCTATGCAATTCTGAAGGAAAACATGAAAGAAAGAGAAAATTTTACTGTAAATGATGTGAGCTATTGATGGATGGCTTTGTAAGCATAGGGGTCCCTCTTTAACATTCTCTGGCATTTAAGGGACTTAGGATTCCAAAAGCACATTCGCACTATTCTGCCGTGGCCAAACTCATGTTTTCCATGATTAACAACCCAGTTCATTATATTTTCATCTCACATTAATCTTCTCTTATGTGAGTTTGGTAACATTTGGAGTCATTTCCCTCTGTATTTATCCATCTGGGATCTTTAGAAAAGATAAGTTTGCAGAGAGTCATTTGTTGCTCATGCTGAAAGACGTTTGTTGCTCACTGCTGTGAGAGGAATGAATGTTTCTTCAATCTTGAGAGAGAATCCTCTGAAGGCAGGCATGGATTCCCTACATAATGCAGAGGGATCCTCAGTGGAGGTCCATGGGGTCCTCCATTTGGAATTGAGCTGCAACATAACAGCAGCAGAAATCAAAACAAGCAATGTTACTTGGATATTGACTGTCCTCAGGGGACAGATGGATTTTGGGAAAGAGGTGTGGAGATGGCTGAAAGAGAGAGTTATGAGAATAATGAGTCAGAACAAAGTCTTTGGCTTGAGTCCTTTCTTTACCACCTTCATGCTATTTGACCTTGGGCAAGTCATATAATCTAAGATCCACTCACCTCCTCTATATACTGACCCCAAAGATATCTGTCCTTTCTACAGAAAAGAGTAGGTTTGAGGGCTAACTTATATTCTCAAAGGGGCAAAGGTAGACTTACAGTTGTTTATATGCAATACTACATAATAAATATATAATAATACAAGAATAAGCTCTGTTTTGCATATCTAAAAACTGTAATCTTATTTTTGCCTTACCATGTATTTATGATTGGGAAGAAAAAAAATAGGTTATTGGGGAATTCATTAAGGCTAGTATTCTTTATTTCTCATCATATATTTTAAAAAGGGCTTGGATATGTGTCATAGTTGAAAACCCATTGCAGAGGGATATGTTATTTGGAGAACAGAAAAAGAATTCTTTGGCAATTCAGATAAGGACATCCTCCAGGCAGAATGTAATCTCAGGAGGTCACGTGAAAGGCAATTCTCATGGAGATTCTGGGTTGTCAGTCTTTAGCAACAGTTTGTGGTGAAGGTTGGAATGCATTTATTCACTTCTTAATTCAAGTAAGTTATGTCTATAGAGAAAATATTCCAAATTGGAAACCCATTAAAAAGCCCTGACAGATACTGGTCATTACCTGTGAAATTTTACTGTTATTTCTCATTGCTGCACAAATGCAGAGCTAACTTGCATTAATGTGTGTTATTGCAGGGAGGCAGGAAGGTGGAATTAAATTTTACAACTGTAGAACTGAAGGGGTTCAGGAAAAGAACCAGTAGAGATGTAAGAAATCTGGACTGTCTGTTCTAATTCTGCACAACTAAAACAAGGTGACATCATCCAGAAATGTTGCTTATTGACAGTTTTCTCCCCCACCAACTGGAATTTGAACAGGAGACTCCCATTACGCAGATAACTCCCAGTGGTGTTAATGGAAATTACCTGTGTAACCAACCCTCCTGCCCAGATAGAATGCCAGATGCCTAGAGCACTTTTAATTGCAATGTACCTCCCTTTGCAAAAAAATTTAATTGCATCTGCTTTCCTTTCCTTTAGGTAGCCAAGCGAGGACGGGAATAATGAAGAGACACATGTGCTAGTGGCAGCCTTTTAAACTACACAAGAAGGAGATCAACGGTGTAGACAGAGCTGGAACCGCTGCCATGCTTGTTTGTTGGAGCAAATGAGGAATGGGCTTGTGATTATGCGGACATTCCAGCATGAATCTGGTAGACCTGTGGTTGACCCGCTCCCTCTCCATGTGTCTCCTCCTACAAAGCTTCGTTCTTATGATACTGTGCTTTCATTCTGCCAGTATGTGTCCCAAGGGCTGTCTTTGTTCTTCCTCTGGGGGCTTAAATGTCACCTGCAGCAATGCCAACCTCAAGGAAATCCCTAGAGATCTTCCCCCTGAAACAGTCTTATTGTATCTGGACTCCAATCAGATCACATCTATTCCTAATGAGATTTTTAAGGACCTCCATCAACTGAGAGTTCTCAACCTGTCCAAAAATGGCATTGAGTTCATCGATGAGCATGCCTTCAAAGGAGTCACAGAGACTTTGCAGACTCTGGACTTGTCCGACAACCGTATTCAAAGTGTGCACAAAAATGCCTTCAATAACCTGAAGGCCAGGGCCAGAATTGCCAACAACCCCTGGCACTGCGACTGTACTCTACAGCAAGTTCTGAGGAGCATGGCGTCCAATCACGAGACAGCCCACAATGTGATCTGTAAGACTTCTGTGTTGGACGAACACGCCGGGAGACCATTTCTCAATGCTGCCAATGATGCTGACCTCTGCAACATCCCTAGAAAAACTACTGATTATGCCATGCTGGTTACCATGTTTGGCTGGTTCACCATGGTGATCTCATACGTGGTGTATTATGTGAGGCAAAATCAGGAAGATGCCCGGAGACACCTTGAATACTTGAAATCCCTGCCAAGCAGGCAAAAGAAAGCGGATGAACCTGATGACATTAGCACTGTGGTATAGTGTCCAAACTGACTGGCATTGAGAAAGCAATTCATATGCAATTGCAGTAGAATAAGTGGTTTACTTCCCCCACCCATTGTAAACATTTAAAACTTTGTATCTCCGTTTCTTTTGAATTATGCCACTGTTGGTCTTTTAACAGACATGACAATACAACAAATGATTTTAGTTTAGGTGATCCACCCCTTAATTGTACCGTCAGTGGTATATTCCCAAGTCAGAATATACTAACTTATAACATTATAAGATAATGTTACTATCTGAACATTAGTTAGCTCCATCTCACTATTTAATAATGAAATTTATTTTTTTAATTTAAAACCAAATAAAAGCTTAACTTTGAACCATGAAAAACAGAGTGACTTATTGGTCAAGAAAACAGTATAGTCATTCCATTGCTTTAAAGAGAAACATATACCTCTGGTGAACCTAAAGAACTATCCTAATGAATAAACCCTACTGTACACTGGGGAGCCATTGCTGAATTATTTACCAAGTGAAGTATCTATCAGACTTTAGAATACCAAGCCTTAGTAAACCCGGGTGGGAATACACATTCTGCAGAGGCTTACTCAATTGGGATGCCTCCAGGTGTTTGTTATCTAAAAGTTGGTGTGTTTAGCTATTAAGGTCTTTTTATAGCTAAACACACTACTTCTACTCTATCCTAGAAATGTGGAAAAGAAAAAGACAATATCTGTCTTCAGTGGGGTGTGTGACAAACAGAAATAGCCATGGTAAAAAGGAAGGTCCTAATAATTATCAGCTGTGCGCAAGCACGGTGCAAGGCATTCTTACACTACTACTATGTCTCTAAGCCCTCACTATAGGGTGAAAAAGTGACAACTGCATCCCATTTATGTAAGAGGAAACTGTGGGTACAACAGTTTCAATGACTTGCCTGGTAGAGAGTATCGGAATTTGAACCAAGTCTCCCTTTCTCCAAAGATTGAGTCCTTATTATGTTCCTACTGAGTTTATTTAAAGAGATATAAGCTATCTATTTAAAAATGCACCCATATTAGGTTTAACAAATGTATATACCTCAAGATATTATGTCCCTGATATTGTTCAGCGATAGGAGAGAGCTCGTTTAGTTCTTGGAGTAGGGAATTGTGTGTGTGTGTGTGTGTGTGTGTGTGTGTGTGTGTGTGTGTGTGTTATTGGAAGGATTCAGGAGATGTTAGGGTGCCGTTACAGATCATCCTCAATATTTGGGAGCGATTTCATCAGATGGTGATGTAGCCAAGGAAGGCAGAAGAAGCAGAGAGAACAAGGGGATAAAAGTGTAAGGAGGTATTTGGGCTGAAGGAATCTATGTAGGGGAGAAGTGAGAGATGAAATGGAGGCAGACCATGGGGATCTCGGTTCCAGACTCAGCAATAAGAGTAACTGATGGTAATTATGGAACACTTAACTGTGTACCAAGTACTTTTTTGAGGTTGTCTTAATTAATCCTTACAATTACCCTATGAGATGGTCTTTTGTGAATGAGGAATCAGAGATGTGGGAGTTGAAGTAATGAATTCAGTTCCCTAGAGCTTGTAATAAGTAAAGCAGGTAATGAGGCCCAATCAGTCAAATCCAGAACCTATAGACCTCTTTACCAATGTACTGTAGTACTTTATAGTCATAAACTTCACTGCATAGAAGTTGCTGGCTTCCCAGACCTAGAGGTTTGCACACTGCTGAGCTATGGTTGCATTAAAAAATAAGAGAAAAAAATAACACAGCCCTTTGTGGGATTTTGGTAAGAAGGAAGTATCCTTTGCCACTTTTACCTTACATCACCTTTTCTAATCTGTATTAGGTTAGCTTTGGGCCTCCAGGAATCACATTTCTTCCCTTAGAAAGCACTATAATTTTAGACACATCAATTGTCTCTAATGTGTTACTGGCATGAACCATGAGGGTCAGACCTGCTGTAGGGCTTTCAGACCAGGCTACATTGGGACAACACCCTCCCTCCTACCTCCACCCCCAAAGGCCACTGGCTTTTCATGCTCACCCTAGTCTTTCTAAACAGTGTAAAGCCTAATCTAGAAGCCTGAGATGTGAAATGCAGGACATGGGCCCCAAACTCCTGCATTCCAATGAGAAGGAAGCCAGCCTGTCTGCTTTGAAGGCTAACTGGATTTGAAGACCTTCAGAGAATTTGGAGCTTTGATGAAGATTTAACGCCCCCTGGAGGACAACATTATAATATATCTCTGTAAATACTACCGTAGAAGATGCCTACCTAAATATATTCCCTTTGAACCCCTAAAGAAAGGAAAATCAAGCCTTTGCTAAGATAACCCTTTATAATTTTAAATAATTTGTATTTATTTGAGTGGTGAATCACATTCACTTTAGAAACGCTTTCACAAATTACGTATACCTTCTTACTTTCTAAATGTTTTCAATAGCAGCTTCTTTGCTCAAACTTCTCCTTTAGCTTCATAACCTCAACCTTTTACATTAAAAAATACCTGGAGATTTTTAGCCTTATCATTGACAATACATTCAACCGTGAAGCAAAGGAAATCATAAAACATTGCAGCCCAACTGGAACATTTTTAAGAAAGGGCTAAAAAAAAATTATGTAATGCAAGATTTAACTTTCAAGAACACTCTGGCAAATTGTAATGCCCAGGTACATGCTGTTCTTTTTCGTGTCCTCCTCTGATTAACCACAATAATTCTTGTTCTGACATCAACAAGTACAAGGCAGTCTGAGATGTGGTTAGGTTTTCCTTATTGGCTTGAGACGCTCAGTTTATAGAGTAAGTTCGCTCATTTATCTGGCACAGTTAGAGAATGAAAAACTCTGCTTAATTAACTGTTCAAGGTAGTAGAGACAGGCAAAGTCTTAGAATGTGAGGATCAGAAGAGTCCTAGAGATCATTTCACACACTGATTTCACAGGTGTTGAAAGTGTTGAAATTGAAACCTTGCAGGCATGGGTTGTCTCCATAGTCCTCCTCCTTCTCCAGCATCCCTTTCAGAGAACCAATTGCCTCTCCTAATAAACTATTTCCCAATCTTCAGAGAAACAGAACGGCATAATATACACCATGAAAATATCACTGGCTATTAGCAGATGTTTCTTGAGGATTCAGAAGGCATTTAAGGTTTCTACATTGTCACAGAGCTATAATAAGAAATAGCTATGATTCTAAAAAAAAAAAAAAAAAAAAGATTTTTTTCAGATATGGTGAGAGGATCTGTTTCCCTTGCACAAATAGTGAACTATCTCATTTTCCAGTGGAGACAACGAGGAAATGATCCTGGTGCAACTTTCTGGGAAGGAAGAGTTGATTTGCATTTGTTCCCTTGACTAACAACATAGACCCTGAATGGTCAAGTGCAGCCCTGCTGGCAGGGTGGGAGGGAATGCGATTAAGCAATATTCTTTTCCATTTCCAGAGCCCTTTTCTAAAGTGGTATCATTGATTCACCAGGTTGGCTGGGTCTGATAAAGCAAACCAAAGGCAAACTCATTTATGACACATTTGGAAATGCCCTTCCAGTCCTCCCCTAAAGCCAAACAGGTGAATCATAATTCAGGAAAAAGGAAGACCTGAATTCCTCATTTCACATTTGCCCAAACTCGTTACACAGATGGTCCCAAATGAATTAATGGGTCACATAGACACAGCAAGGAGAACATCTCAAGGCCCAAAACTTTTGCAATCCAAACCAGAGAAGGGGGGTGACAATAAAAGGAAATCCAATTCTATGTATGGCTCTAACTTCTTCAATATTGAAAGAACCAAAGCTAGTATGAATCAAGAAGTGTGTGTGTGTGTGTGTGTGTGTGTGTGTGTGTGTGTGTGTTTCCCAAGTTCAGTGAAAATGTCATGCTTCTCACTAATGGCAACTGAGTTGATCATGCTTTTGAGCTGTGCTCCTCCTTTGACTGATAAATGTTCTAAATTTTGCTCATTATTTAAAAAAAAATCAATGCATTTACTTTCTTTCCCTGTGGATATCTGAGCATCTAATGGACAAAAGTTTTTTAGATCTGACCTTAAAAGCTAGGCCCCTAAAGAATATAATACTTGGGACCAGCATTCTATTTTTTGCTTTGATATTTTATGTATTATTTTTCCAGAGAAGAGTTTGTAAAATGGAGGGCAACCTGAAATCTGGCTGTTGGTCTAAAGATGAACAAGCCAGCTATTGGCATTGAATGCTGAATAGATTTTCTTTAAATACCCATAGTGTCTAGCTGTGCTGGCTCAGTGGTTGAGCAGTGACCTATGAACCAGGAGGTCATGGTTTGATTCCCGATCAAGGCACATGCCTGAGTTGCAGATTTGATCCCCAGTGAGGGGCATACAGGAGGCAGCAGGTCATTGATTCTCTCTCATCATTGATGTTTCCATCTCTCTCTCCCTCTCTGAAATCAATAACATTTTTTTAAAACAGCACATAGTGAGTTGGATGGGGCCAATCCACCTTCCTTAGGGTTGCCCACATTTCTTCTGGATGAAAAAACATGAAAGATGCTGGTCAGCTCTCAAATTCTTTCATCCTCACAGACAGTCTTGCCAATTCCCTGTCTCTCTGAGGACCAAAATGCAGTAATAAGAAGAGAATCTAAAATGAGAAACAAAGAACAAAAAAGTGCTACCCAGAAGCAAGGCTTTGGAACAAGCAGGACTGACTTAAACTGACATTTCCAGCACTTCACCATTGACACGACCTGTCTTCACACTGTAACATGAACTGAGGAAGTCTTGTGTATAAATCACAAATAACCTTTTACAAATAAAAAAGGTTTCACCTTTCCCCAACCAAAGTTATCTATCATTCACTTGGCATAATGTTCCTTCCATCTGTTTCTACCTTCCCTGGTTTTCACAATAGCCCTGCCATGTAGACATTATCATTGTTCCCATTTTACAGATAAGAAAACTAATACCCTGAAAGAATTCTGCCCCAAATCACACAACTAATATGCAATAGTGAAGACAGATTCAGCTACCTGCAAAGACCTATGTTTCGTCTAAGGC